TTCTATGGAAAAAAACACAAGAATAAAATACTTATGATCAAATGCATGCACAATCTATTTAATCAGAAAGGCACATATACATATACACACACATGGCCGGCTGAGGGGGGGCTGGCAGTCTTTTCTTTTTCTTTTTCCTGAAAATGAGTTGTTTGTCCAATTGTTCCAATAATTACATGATACATTACATGATACATGTAATTATTAACCAGAACACTGTGGTGTTCATACAGTGATAAACTCCATGACATATTCGTCCAAACAACTACAGCAGTAGTGGTAGGGGTCACTCAGTCTGTATTTATTTTTCTCTTGGAAAAGGTCAAGCACTGGTCCAACCACACTACAGTAACTGACCATCCATTACCTATAACCATGCTAACAATAACTCTTACTCACATGAGCAGCCTGTGAATGGGACAATGGCTGACAGGAAGCGCCTCAGTTTGTGTATATGTGTGTGTGTGTATGTGTGAGACCTTAGCCTCTGTGGCAAATCAGTCAGAGCAGCGGACACTGAAACACCTCCAGCTCCAGCCTCTGTTTGGCTCTGAGATATCTGAAAACCAAACATCACCTCCAAACCTCGGAATAGATCTTGTTGTCTTTCTTTTTCTCGTTGGATTTTTCTCATATGTTTTTTTTAAAGACTGTGTGTGGATTTATGATGGAGAATTAAAATGGTGAGGAAGAAAAAGCTGCTAGTGTTTGGGTGAGTATTACTCCTGCATTCACAGCGTCTGAGATTATTTCAATTCTTAGCCTCTTTAAAAATCACCATGATGCTATAACGTGACTTAAAGGTGTCTCTGATGCTTTATTTTTATATGTCATATGGTATTTCTATGTAATAGCTGTCTTTCTTTTTCAGCAGCATGGCCTCAGCATGTTAAATTAGTGATGAGGTGGATTTACTAACTGCCCCCCCATGCAGATATAGATTTCATCTCATCCAAATGTCATTTTCATCCAAACTCTTGCACTGAGGAAAACTTGAAACTTTAACAGTTTAGATTTTTTTATTTTGGGTGATTTGGGGCAAAACTTGATTGATGGTGATTTATGTGAAGGAACCTGGGCTCAAACTATGTTTCTGTCAGCTTCCTCATTGTGTTGGTGCCATTGTGGCAGCATACGTGACACAACAGCTCATGTGTGTATTGTCTGTGTGCGTATGTGTGGTTGACCTTTACATTGTGAAAAATCCCATCCAGCATTCTCTTTCTCTGGGAATTTGGTTATTTTGCCACAAACAGGGTACAAAACATTAAACTTCAAACCATACATATGATTTCTCCGTCCTCAGACTCACATGTACTGGTCTGCCGGTGGATTGAAACCAGTTTTTTGATGAGAAAACATCTTGTGTTTTCTTTCCTTCTTTTAGAATTTGTGGAAGCATGATGTGGGATGGATAAACAACAACGAAACTCTACTGTAAGTCGACTGACAGAATGGTGTTAATGATGGATGAATGTAAATTTGTAACGATGGAATGTGAATGACCCTGGTGACCTCCAAATAGAGACACGTTTAAGTCAGTGGTCATTTCGAAAAATGTGTTTACAGTCATAGTTTCCCGAATTTATATAATTTCTTTTGATACTTGATGCTGCAGGTATATGGTCTATAAAGGTGTAGATACAATCTGAATTAGAAAATTTTTATCTCTTATTTGAAAAGTTTTCAAGGCCTCCATCAGATGTTTGTTTGAAAGACTGTAACTTGAAATATTTACAATATTTACATTTTAACATCATTATTTTACAGCAAAATATTTGATTTCTAATAGACGCATGCAGACCACTGTGCTTTATTTAGCTTTCATGAAAAGATTGAATCTCTGGTTTCAAATAGAAAACTGTGTCTCTGTGGCCTTTTCCTCGTAGATGGCCTCCAATGACCCTGACCTTCCTGTCCTCTCTGGTGACCCCCAGCCTGGTGACCTCATCGAGATCTTCCGACCAGCCTATCAGCACTGGGCTCTCTACCTTGGAGACGGTTACATCATCAACTTGACTCCTGTTGGTAAGTGGGAACCTCTGATTCAGACTGAATAAAAGAGTTGTGTGTCCACACTTTGAACTAGTATTTGCATTGTTTTTTCACTTCTTATTTAGACTTTAGAGGCCACAATTACCATAATAGAGTGTTGGAGACATGATACAGCAAGTTTCTAATCTGAATGTGTCTTGGGGAAAGAATAAAAATACTCCTGTCACCCATTTTAATTTAGTTTGCAAAGTGGAAACAGTTTGGCTTTTCCATTCTGTCAGGATCCTTCAATGTCTTTAGGATCTTTGTGATGGTTCCCAACACAAACTGGTTCTATCCCACTGAGGCCCTTCTCTCCCTGTACAGATGAGAGCCAGGCAGCCGCCATGTCCAGTGTGAAGTCCGTCTTCAGCAGGAAGGCAGTGGTGCGCATGCAGCTGCTGAAGGAGGTGGTGGGAAGTGACTCGTACAGGGTCAACAACAAATACGACCACAACCACACCCCCCTGCCCATCTGTGAAATCATCCAGCGAGCGCAAGTCCTCATTGGCCAGGAAGTGTCCTACGACCTGCTGGGGAGCAACTGCGAGCACTTTGTGACCCTCCTGCGTTACGGGGAGGGGGTGTCCGAGCAGGTCTCTCACTGTCTCTTTACTTTCTGTCTCATGTGTCATCAGGGCAAAAACACTCTGGCTCATAAGGCCACAGTGTCCAATGGATCCTTGATGTCACCAAGGTCATAGTTTCACTTGAGAATTACATTTTAGAACAAGCAGGACATTTAAAACTGAATTTCTTTCAAAATAAATAAAGTCAAATTTACTTTTAGTGTCAATCTGTTTTTATGAAGATGGGAGTTGTATCATTGGACAGTTTGCTTTGTTTTCCTGAATATTTGACTGTGGATATAAATGCCAAATATTACTTTTTGTCCAAAAGCTGCAGTGAGATGTATAGGGGAACGTACAAACCCCCTTTACTAAAAACAGGAATGTGGTTCCTGTTTCCCAAAATATATTTGGTTCTGGTGAAAGGAAGCGATGCATTAAAACATAATGGGACACCACACCCAAAAACACAAAGAAGAGCACTCTTTCCTGTAACCTGCTTTGAGATCTATTATTATCTACTATTTGTCAGATTAACTGAAAATCATTTACACACAGTACTAGAGTGGTTAAAGTTATGCTCTGGGTCGACATTAAAGGGTTGATCTCCCCAAAATCTATGTTCTGAGTGTCTAACAATCAACCACGTTGCTTTGCACGGGTTTAATCTTCAGAGAACATGTCAGCTGTGTTCAGGTTGAATGAATGAGGGTTACCATGGTTTACAACGGTGACTAGTTTTATGATGAACAAAAATATTGAAATATCAATATAAAATCCTGTGTCATTATTATTGCTTTGCTCCGATTCCTGCTTTCCCTTTGATGTAGTCCTATAAACTCCAAAACCTCTGCTCCACTTTGTCTCCGCAGGCTACACGGGCCATTGGGGCCATCAGTTTGGTGACGGCAGCAGCCAGTGCCTTCTCTGTCCTGGGACTGATCAACACACGATCCAGAAACAGACCCTTCTGACAGCAGTGTTCTTCACTGAAGGGTGTTGTCCCCCAACATTCATGCGGCTGTGATTTTAAAAAAATGAAATAAAGCAATAATATTAATGCAAAACTGTGTGTTAGTTGTCTCAATCAACCATTATATGAAATGTCATTCTTTGACAAAAAGTCAACTTCATTGTCAATTTTCACAGGACAAAGACGGAAATAGAAAGAAATGTAATTCTAGAGATTTTACGTATTTCTGAAACTTTCAAAGTATCCTGCATTATTCGAGCCTCAGCAAATAAAGACCCATTGTAATAATTATACAAGATTACTTTATTCTATCTTCATTTAATTGCGGTTGGACTTGCAGGCAGCAGGTGGCAGCAGCGTCGTGTGAACATCGGGAACAACTGAGAAGAAGAAGAAAGTGTTTCCGGTGCCTCGGTGAACTTCCGCAGTGAAGCAGACACACGTGTTGTTTTCATGCTGCCGCTGTGAGTCCTGACGACGTGTGAGACTTCTGTGTTAGAGTTCACCATCAAACCGCAAACATGGGGAAGAAGCTGAAAGTCGGAAAGACGAGAAAGGATAAATTCTACCACCTGGCTAAAGAAACAGGTACAGTGTCACTCTCAGGAAACAGCACGCATTCAGCTTGATGTTAGCTTCAGCACACTTGCTCGTGAATAACCCTGGACTGTGGTTTTTTCCAGGTTATCGCTCTCGTTCCTCGTTCAAACTCATCCAGCTCAACCGAAAGTTTCAGTTTCTGCAGAAAGCCAGAGCTCTGGTGGACCTGTGTGCTGCTCCGGGAGGATGGTGAGCAACATCTCTCACATGAACACATCCACACTGAGTTCAGTCAAACATGTGGAGACAGACAGTCAGAAGAAACCGATCCCATCAACCCTCCTTTCAGATGGTGATATATGACAAGCAGGAATACATCTTGCTGATGAGGACGACATGATGTCAAAACAGATCTTTACACTGATTTTAATCTAAACCCTGAATATAACGTCTGTGCACTCTCAGTTGGCAGGTTGTTAGGTACGCAATAAGTGAATATGCTTTGTGAACATAAGGAAATATAGAAATAGTGAAAATATTTACAATGGACACATGCAATGTAAGATGGATGAAAACACTGAGATTGCTCAAACTAAAATATTGAAATCACACAGATACTGCAAATATTCCAGAGTTTAAAGAATATAAGAACTTTATTGATCCACACAAATTCAGTTGTGACAGCAGCAGGCAGCTCAGAATGAATAAAAAAAAAAAAAAAAAAAGCAGTGTTATGTACGTACACCTTTCACTGCAGTTTATTTAAAAGTGCAGTGGCACAGGATGATTGCACGAGCAAGTAGAAAAACCCCAAGTACTTCAATATAAGGACATATTGTGATGTGCTCAAAGTTATTATCTGTTAGAAATAATGTAAATAGTATGGGGAGAAGTAGAAATGAGATTACACCTGAGTTAAGTGTGCAGTCAAGTCAAGATTTCTGGATCCCTGCCTTGGTGATGATGTTTCCTTCATTTATATCAACAAGGGAAAGCTGAATAACAGAAACATCTCAATGTACGATGCAGCACGGAGCAGAAGCTCCACAAACCACAGTAAAATTGTCTCATTAATTCGTCTGAACTTCATGAATGCAGGATTTATTGCAGTGCTGCTTGCTGGAATAGAAAAAAGTTGTTTTTGCCAGATGTTTGTAATAAACTGCAACTTGCATTTGTAAGCTGTGCCTGGAGAAACAAGAGAGTGATGTGTCGACACTGATGATTATGTTTCTCCTCGTAGGTTGCAAGTAGCATCAAAGTTTATGCCGGTGTCAAGTCTCATTATTGGTGAGTCTCATTTTATCTCAGTTCAGGTTTCCAAATGTAATGATTCCCATCCACTTCTGTGAATTATCTAATTAAGATCACATGTGCTTAAATCTCTTCCTTTTGGTCAGAAAGTATCGTAGTCCAAGTTTACATATTCAAATTTCTTGTTTTGTTTGACCAATGATCCTGAACCCAAAGATCTAGAAAATGGAGAAAACCAGCAATGAGTTACATTTTAGAGGCTGGAAGGCAGATTATCTTTCTCTGTAATTGGCAGATCAATGCACTCTTGTTGAAATAGTTGACTATTTTCTCTCTATGGATTAATTAGTTAACTATCAAATAGTTAAATCTATAGTCTGATTCATTTGTTCTGAAAAACTCTGTAATGAAGATGATGCAAGTGAATGTTCTAAAAGGTTCTCCTCCTGCCAGGTGTTGACCTGGTGCCCATCAGGCCCATTCCTAATGTGGTGATGCTGCAAGAAGACATCACCACAGAGAAATGCAGACAGGTGAGATGGTGAAATTCATACAGTGATCAGTTTAATTCAGAAAAAAATTGGACAAATGGGATTTTTCCCCATGCTTCTGACACCATGCTACTCTATAATACCACGTACCTGCACTGTTTTCACAAGACTCGACTTCTTTAAAATGTCATACTGTATTCTAGTTCTTCTTAAAATAAATGTGAGATATCATCTGTCTTATCCGCAGGCTCTAAGAAAGCAGCTGCAGACTTGGAAGGTGGATGTGGTGTTGAACGATGGAGCCCCGAATGTGGGAGCCAACTGGCAACATGACGCCTTCTCACAAGGTATGTACAGCTGAGGACATTAGACTGAAACGTCCCAAAGAACCAATAGACACTCAAACACATGCTACTGATGTCAGTATTTAAATGCTATGTTTATTTATTTATTATATATGTATTACACCATAAGTTCTACCAGTATCAAATATGACACAGGAAACTGGTATATTACAAATCTGTAACAAACTACCCTATAAATTACAGCACCTCTGCAGTTTGCTTGTGTCTCGATGGAGGAGTATTTTTTAAAAGGCTCAATGAGCTGTTACAATCTAAGGTATTTGAACCTAACACATCTAAAATGTTCTTCTCTTCACCTCCAGCTCACCTGACCCTCATGGCTCTGAAACTGGCTTGTGACTATCTGGCCAAAGGGGGCACTTTTGTCACAAAGGTCTTCCGCTCCAAAGATTACCAGCCGCTAATCTGGATCTTCCAGCAGTTCTTCAAGAAGGTGCAGGCCACTAAGCCGCAGGCATCCAGGAATGAGTCTGCTGAGATCTTTGTCGTCTGTCAGGGTCAGTGATGGTTTATGATGACTGGATTTTAATATAGTCTCTAAAGGAAGAGCCTATGTGTTAAAACAGTTTTTTCCTCTTCCAGGTTATGTTGCCCCGGATAAAATCGACAGCAAGTTCTTTGACCCCAAACATGCATTTAAAGAGGTGGAGGTGCAGGCCAAAACTGTGAAGGACCTGATGCCTGTCAAGAAGCCCAAGGCAAGTTTATTGCAGGGGATGAAGAAGAATTAGATGAGCACCAACGAACAGCCTAGCTTTGGTTTATAAAGTGTCTCCATTACTGACCAAGCAGTTTTTCTTCTATTCCAGGCAGAGGGATACACAGACGGAGATCTGACGCTTTACTACAGTTTCACAGTGACCGCTTTTCTACAAGCTGAGAACCCTATTGACTTCCTGAGCAAAGCCAGTGAGGTGAGATATCTGCACGTCAGTGATGAGCAGTTCGGCTCTGATGACATCCGAATCCGCACGTATGCTTGACTCATCTGCCCATCACCCCCACCCAAAGGAATGGAACAGTTTCTGTGTTTTCATAGACAGCCCTGTAAATGTAAACTACTACTGTAAAGGATGTATTCTGGCACGACGTCCACTTTCTCCGAATATCTGCAGCTTTCAACCACATTCGCATAATCGCCAGTTTCTCTGCTCTCATAGGGTTTGAATAATTTGCTAAAGAGAGAAGCAAGATGTGGTTAAATATCATGGAAACAAAAGCTTACTCTAAGTTGAATGGAGAATAATTTGTCAAGATATATCGATTGAAGAGACAGAAGAATCAAGCTTATTAAAACCCCCCGTTTTGCCATCCTCACTCTGTCCTCTTCATTCAGATCAGCTTCGATAACCCAGACCTGGAGTCCCACTCAGCCACCAGCATTGAGATAAAGGAGTGTTGTCGTGACATCAAAGTCTTGGGCCGTAAAGAGCTCCGGTAAGTCCCTGATCTGTCACCGCTCCGGTTTTTGTTTACACATCGAAACCTTGACGTGGAGTGGGAAGAAATGACAAATTAAACCCCCCTTTAGCAGTTCAATGCTGTTTTTTTATACAAATAATGCAGATACAAATGTGTTTGTGTGTATTTTTTTCCTCCATCGTCACATCTGCAGCCTGCTGCTGAGCTGGAGGTCCAAGCTGCGGAGATACCTGTCCAAGAAACTGAAGGCGGCCAAAGAGCAAGGCCAGGAGATCAGGTAAACAACTCTTTACAGCATCTTCACAGAAGTCTACAAAGAATAGTTATGTCCTTGTAAGGATTTGTCTCAGCAGATCAAACATCCTCTCTGCTTTGTTTTTAGTTTAAGCTCTGATGAAGATAAGAGTCATTCAGACGACGAGCCCGACAAGAAGAAAGAGAAGAAGGAGGAGGAGGAGGATGATGATGAAAATGAGGAGGAGGAACTGGAGAAGAAACTGGCAGAGCTGAAGGCTGAGGAAGTGGCTGACCTCAAACGGTATGACAAACTCTTTTTGTCTTTCCTGGACTCTCACTTTGTGGAAAAGTTTAATCAATTAGTCATTGTGTCTATTTGATACCAACAATTTGTCTGGATCGTTGTTTTGAAGAGTATCTAAACAACAGAACCTTCAAACCAGGTCGTGAAGTACATTATTGCAGGTGGATTTAGTGAAGATTTCAGAAATCATTATCACTCTCTGATTTGATATTTCTTCAGAAAACAGATTTGTATATCTCATCTTATCCTATCTGCTCCATCAGGAAGAAGAAGAAGCTGCTGAAAGAGCGCAGGAAGCTGAGGGAGAGAGTGGAGCTGAAGATGGACCTGCCGGGCGTCTCCATCGCAGACAGCAACGACACATGCCTGTTTTCTCTCAGCACCATCAAGAAGCAAAAGGTAACGCATTTCCACTTTAACCCATGTGATCTCTGAACTGAAGTCACTCATTGTATATGTAGACTTTAAGCCATCAAGTTTTTTGAAGGTGGCATATGGAGTTTTCTGGGAAACAAAAGTTTTCTGCAGGATTTGTGCTTAGTGTGGTAACTTCAGTTTTAACTGTGGAGGTGAACCTGGATAAATCACCATGGTAACTTAGGCCGAACACCTAACCTGCTTGGGTGTGATGGAAATGAGATCCACCTGTGCTGTAATGATGGAGCAGTGATAATATAAGTGTGTTGACGTTCACGCAGTAGTGGTGTCACTTATTTAAAGTTCATATTGGAACTATAATGATGAACTGTTCAGATTCAGATTATACAGAAAAGAGGCTCTTCACTGGTACCAATTACTTTAACCTCTCTCTATCAGGTGCTGACTGATATAACCAAGGGGGACATGCAGGTGGCGGATAATTTACCAGATGAAGATGATGACCTGTACCTGTCTGAGGACGAGGAAGACGATGCAGATAAAATGTCCCTGGCCTCTGATTTAGATGACGAGGACATGGAGGAGGTGGAGCAGAGACAGAACGAGCTGGAGAAGAAGACACCAAAGAAGAAGTAAGTAGCTGGTCAGACCAGGAACTGTCCTGTGGTTTCAGTCCAACTGCTTAAAATCACGAGCTGCTGATGTGGATTGGATTTGACATTTCAGACACATGTGAGATGATTACTGCAAGTTCATTGAGTCTTAAACGTAAAGTGAGTCCCACTCTTGTCCATTAAGACGTCGCCTCTGCCGATAGAACAGAATAATGATTCGGCAACCAAGAGTAACCCTCAGCCTTTAATTTTATTGTATCAAATGTTCTCAACTTTTTCACAGAATACCCTCAATAGTTCCTCAAATCGTTTTTGATTTGTGTATTTGTTTTTTCAGAGTACAGTTTGCTGAGGAAGAGGAGGACGAAGGGAATGAGAGTGGTCTGCTGGTGGAGCTGGAGGGAAAGGATGAGAAAAAAGAGCGAGAGACTAGCCTGTGGTTCAGCAAGGTTTGTTTCCCATAATGCATCACAACATGCACAGACCCTGTTATATTGCTGCCGTCAGTGGTATTTTATATTGCGACTGGTCCTGTGCTTCTTCTTACATCGTTACTTGTCCTTCTCAGTTTTCTGTGTGATGTCTGACCTTTGACCCCCACCCCTCTTTCTCTGCAGGGCATCTTCTCTGAGATTGACCTGGAAGGAGACGCAGAGAATGAGCTCCAACAGACTGAGTGGTTCCAGAACAAACAGACAGGTCACCATCTCCCCTGTTTCAATTGACATATTCATCAAAAGAACCTTTTCTGAAATATACAGTCGGGTTTGGAAAAAGTCTCCAACACAATATTAGGCCAGGGTTTTAGTGTCGTGGGAATTTCTACAAATTGTTAAAGTGCGATTTTATTAGTTCTCCTACATCTAGGAATCTGAAATGTAACATTTTGGGACCTTCTTTAGTAACGGGCCAAAAGAGGAAAGCTGAGGAGGAGGAGGAGGAGGAGAAGGAGGAGGCGGCGGAGGCGGCAGCTGCTCAGCCAGATGAGGAAAAGGCGGGACCTTCAAAGGAAGCTGGGAAGGAGAGCGACAGCGACTCAGACGACAGCAGCGACGATGAGAAGTAAAACTTCATTTCTTGTCCAATCTGGTTTTTGGTTAATGATATCATACGATGGATGGAAGAGAAATTGAATAGAATGAACAAGCTTAAATTCCATGTTGTCAGATATAATCAATGTACAAACAATTCATTCAAAACGTTCTTTCTTTTTTCCAGTGAGATCACCAGGATGAAGCAAGCGAAGGGGGCTGCTGGGAAGTCAGGAGAGGCCAATGATGACCTCCAGGTTGTTCCTGTAGAGAGCACCAGTGAGTAATGAAAACACTGATATTTAGTCCATTCAGAGCACCTTCATACTTATATAGGATATATTTCCTATGAAACTACAGATAAAACTAGACATGTCAGCGTAAGAAGCTTTTGAACCAAATGAATACATTTTAGTGAGAGTGTAACTTCATGGATATGTGAATGTTTTGTGCTCCTCAGGTAAGAAAGCCAGGATCCTGGATGCTGAAGGCCTGGCCCTCGGCTGTCAGATCGCTACGTCGAAGAAAAGAGCCAGAGACCTCGTGGACACCTCCTTTCATAGGTGAGTGGTGGTCATAGTGTGCGTAGCTTCTGTCTGAGTCAAACTGTCTCACAAAGCAGATGCTGATTTCTATATTATAACCAGTGTCACACAGTAAGAGTGCGATCAGCAATGAATTGATTCCACTGACAAGTATCCAAACCCTTTTATTTTCATTATTCTGTGTCATAGGTCTCTATTATTGTAAACATGTATATAAATTATAGATATGAGGTCATGGATGCTGTAACATTTTTCTTCATAATGGTGAAAATGGGACCTGTTGTTAATTATGGGTAAATCCTACATAAACTTCCTGCTACTGTTAAAACTCACCAGTGACACAAAATGTGTGAAAATAAAAGGATCATGTTTGATTGTGCGCCAGTTTAAAGGTTTTCATGTTCAGTGTGAAGAATTAGTCCTGGGGACGAAGGATGTGTTTTTCCCAAATGACAAATATTTTTCACCAGGTGCTGCATGTATATAACTAATGTTTTGAAAGATATTCTTTGATGTTTTGCAGTTCATATTTAATAATTGCCACAAAGTCAGTTTCTTTAAAATGCTCTTTATACTGATGAATATCTATTGCATGTGTTGTCGTCATCACAGCTTGCTTTGTGAACCTCAATCAGTGATAATACTGGATTTAGTTCGTGTTCTATGCAGTAAAATAAACATATCAATATACTGTATTGTTTTTATCTCTACAACGAACTGTCTGCTTCTGCAGGTTTGCTAGCTCCGATGAGCCGTGGGAAGTACCTGAGTGGTTTCTGGACGATGAACGTAAACACCGGAAGAAGCCAGTGCCTGTCACTAAAGAGATGGTGGAGGAATTCAAACAGAAATGGAAGGAGATCGATGCCCGACCCATCAAAAGAGTGGCTGAAGCCAAGGCCAGGAAGAAGAGAAGGGTAAGTTGAGGATAAAACCATAATGATGTGATTTAAAGGTTAAAGACGCCAAAAGATTATCAGACATTATTTAAGTCATAGCAGCTAGATCTCTATTAAGATGCACAAAAAAACTCAAAGTATTTCTGTGGATCTTGATTTGTTGTTTTCTCTGTGACTTTTCCAGATGCTGAAAAAGATGGAGCAGGCAAAGAAGAAGGCGGAGGCAGTTGTCAACACAGTGGACATCTCTGAGAGGGAGAAGATGGCTCAGCTGAAGAGGTATGACGTTACACCCGTACAYCAAGTCAATTATAACTCCCATAAACTAATTTTAGGAATAATACAATCTCATATTTCTTTTCTTGTCTTTTCCTCATTCTGCCAGTATCTACAAGAAAGCCAACATCGGGAAAGAAAAGAGAGAAGTCACATATGTCGTGACCAAAAAGGGAGCTGGCAAGAAGGTGAGGCGGCCCCCGGGCGTCAAGGGAGTCTTCAAAGTAGTAGACGGACGAATGAAGAAAGACATGCGGGGGATGCAGAGGAAGGACCAACRTGTCAAAGGGGGCAAAGGAAAAGGGGGAAAAGGCAAAGGAAGACCGTCAAAAGGTGGCAAGGGAGGAATGAAGAGCGGTAAAGGGGGAAAAGGAAAATAAATTTCACAACCTTGCAGAACTGCCTTTCTATCGAAACAGTAAACATCGCCTGTCCTCGTGTTGCTAGTGAGCATTTATGGAGCTTTGTGTCCCACAGTTCAGCTCCTGTATCATGAACAGAGGCCAAAAATTAACCTTGGTATTTGACATGATTGCCTTCTTTATAGGAAATCTTTGTTTAGGTTCCTTAAAACCCYGACACTTGATCTATGATGTGAGGTTCTCACAGTGCTGATGTTTTTATTTATGTCTTTATGAAGATGTGAATTATTCGCCCTCAGCTTCTCAAATCGAGCTGAACTGTATCTCAAGWTTAACTCTACAGTCAAYGTGTTCATTTAATTATGTAAATATTACAGACACATCTTTGCAATAAATATGTTATTTCAGTATCTTTTGTGTCATTTATTTGATCATTGTGCTTTATTGGTATGACTCAAATAAAACTGACAGTACAAATACTAGTTTTATTGGTGACATAATATTTGATTGAAAAAATTGACTGAAGTACCAGCAACTCAGGTGTGTGATCAACTAGAAAAAGTGTCATTAGTTCATCGCTCCTAATGCAGCAACATTTATTTTTTCACAGGCAAATAAATGTTTGATTTAAAATTAAATATCAGTAGGTTTAAATTTTCCACCTCTAAAATATTGTCATTAAATACAATGTAACTGCACAGACAATGGGTAGCATGAAAACCTTTACTTTTCAGTCATGCTTTAAAAATATGTGAATATATAAAAGCATACAGGTTTAAAAAACAAATGCTGAAGCTGTATTTTTAGATTTTTAATTGTGGTGCAAAACGATTATGGTTGTTTCTTGGGATTTTAATAGTTATGCTAAATCTGGAAAAAAAAATCGGCTCAGATGTGTCAACCTGTCATTCAGGAAAAACATCCCTGATTCATGCAGCAGAAATTCAAATCAGCATAATCAAGTTTTCTTTTCTGCAYAATGGTATCAATCATTGTCAGTGGATCTCACTGTGAAACTATCTGAAATCTCTGATCATCACTAACAGACTGCGACATTAATTACTTAATTATTGCTTGTACTCTTTTTCTTTCTTTAATCCTTTTACTTCTCATGTTATATATTTGGAGTACATTATATGTATTCCATTTTTATAAAGAACACACATATACTTCCACCTCACATGTCATTTATTAAGTTTTTATCATCAAGAAAATAGTCGCCGTCCCCCCAAAATTAAAAAATAAAGTGTCGGTCGTGACTGACTACATCTCCCATGAGCCTTTGCGGTGTAATAAACTAGGCTGTAGACCATAGACTGTATATAATAGTGTCATGTTTCTCCTCTGTTCCTTAATATCTACAGATGTGACAATGATTTTAGCATAAAACATCCTTTAACATGACTTTTTTCATTTCATGAAGCACTGCAACACCTAATGTCCTCAGAATCCACTGTGGCAGCAGCAACATGGTGGAGATCGGCAGCTTCAGGCTGGTCAACATGATAATAATATTGAGTCAATTTCTGTATCCATTATGGTTGGTAAAATTAACACTGTCACAACAATGTTCATCTTTTACTTTCTGATTTAATAAACCTTAGATAAAAAGTGTCTTTTTTTTTTGCCATAAGAGACAGAACACGGTCAGCACAGCTGTGTCCCTCAGGTTCCTCCGTCCCTAATAGAATGACAGGAAACATAAAAGTATGGCATTATTGCAGAGATACGTGTTACTTTCAAACAAAGTCTGTGTCCTTATATTCTGTGGATATTTAAGTATGTATCTGAATATGGTTTGGGATTAAACAGTGTACTACAATGAATGTGCAGTATGGAGTTCTTTCACATTAAAAGTATTGCATTTATAATGTAATGCATCATGTGCAATAATTTGCTTTAATTGTTAGTAAGTTTTGAAAACAGGTCTATACCTGGTAGGTAAACTGTTCATTCATAAATAAAGTTCAGCTCAATAAGTTTCACACTGCAGCAGCTGCACTAACGTTATTTCTGAACCAATAATCTAATAAAACATTATTACTGAAGTTACTCACAGTAACGTAGTCAAGCCAAATGGGTTGGCGAGCTGAACAACTTTACATAACGTTAGATATCTAACTTGATG